ATGATTTCTATAAGATTGCTGCCATGAGCAATCTGTGAATGTACATACCGTCTTGTGGCAAGTGGTGAGTGAACGTGCCGGATCGGAATCACAGCAGATTACACAATATAATCTCAGTTTCCATGATGTAATCATCACTATGCACTTTGATTTTTGCCGTGGGATCATCCAATTGGTTTAGTAAATCWGTCGTAGTGCGGTYTTTAGGGGAGAAAAGTTGGTGGGCGGAGTCCATCAACCAGTGACCAGCCAAACGATCTCTGCGGGATCTCTCCAATGATATTACCGTGAACAAAAGAATTCGAACATAAAGGCTTTTCAGTAGAGCTCGTTAATTGTGAAATAACTCTATCCACCTTTCTTACGGCAACTGTAATGGAGTTCAGTGGTTTACATGAGAAACCCGCTAATCCACTTTGAATCTAATCGTATAAATAAGATTATTCGTTATAACTAACCATTACAACATGTATAAAGTACTGATAAAAATAAGAAAAAAAGAAGCACATAGTTAATTGTTTACAATACACAGGCAGKTTTTTTCTTTTTCTTGACAACGTAAATTGCATCCAGCTGCGTGACACCATTTTTCTATTTTCCCTACTATTATAGATCACAATTTTTCGAATAATTATACTATTTCTTTTGTATTTAGTGTGTTCTGTGATTGATGTCTCTATTTTCATTGAGCAAAACTCTAAAAAAATAAATTAATAAAATAGAAAAAATATAAATTAGTGACAAAAGTGGCTCTCGGTCTGCTAATGTACACCGTGCACAGTTTGAAAAGAAACATATCGTTTCATTTTATCGATATTTTAATGATATAGATTAAGAAAAGTTATCTTCTTTCCATCTGACAACCTGCTCAGATTTATGAATTGAGTTGGTTGTTTGGAATAAAGGCATATCCACAGTTTATGTGAATTGTTTTGGCTTTGCAATATTAGATTGGCTTTGAAATATAAGCATGCACTAGATACAGGTTCCTCATTTAGATTTGGTTGGAATATTACTCTACAATAGGGCACATTTGTAAAATTGCGTCCCACCAAATAGACTTTATATAAACTTTATATCGTGTACTGTGGTCAAACGGAACCACTATAATTTTCCCATGGGTCATTTCACCTGTGCCATCTTTGCTTAATATCTTTCGTATCATAGTTGAAAACAATGGTCGACTTATAATAGTRCGGTGAGCTAATGGACAAAGGTTAGTAGGTGGAGTCAGTTAATAGGTCCCAGTTTAAGCAGATCTTYTGATCTCAGCGGGATCCCACAACAACAGAAAGGCAAACAATGAAAGATAGAGTATAGAAAGGAAACTCTGCTTCACAAATGCTGATTTTCATTACTCCTAACACGCCAATGTATACGGTTATAATAACGGAATGGATAGCGTTCATCCCGGTCATGATATAGAATATCGTTTATCGCCTTTTCTTTTACTACCTGTTAAAATGATTAACAATTCAATCGATTCTTTATTGATTTGCGTCGTTCTAAATTCCCTCTAAAGCTTTCACAAGGTAATTTCATRATTTTTTCCTTTTTAAATTGTTTAGGTGGTGTGCGCTCCCTGTGATACATTTGATGAGTTCGTTATAGAGCCATTAGAGCCAACATGCCCGAAGCTTCCTTCACTCTGAGAGTTGGGTGATCCAACTYTCATTATTGTGCATTTTTGACCCCTAAACATACAAAATCTGAGGAAATAAAATGCTTTCATACTTTTTACGGTGTAAAATCTTATTTCGCGACTACTTCTTTAGTAAAACCGACGCAGCTCACCGAAGTTTACTGTTATGTAGTTCCCATCACTTTCATGAACCGTTTATGGCACACTATAACAAACTGTCTTC